TAAAATTATATAAAATTGTGTAAAATTATATGAAGTTTGTTAAAATTGTATCGCTTCACGTATCAAGTTGTATAAAATTATATGGTTAAGGAAAATTATATGAAGTTGCATGAAAGCAAATAGAATTTTTGAATATTATACAAAATTCTATAAAATTATATGAAGTTTTAGAAAATTGAAAAAAATTGTGTAAAGATGTATGAATTTGTATAAAATTATATAAATTTTAGTAAAATAATTTAAAGTTGTGTGAAATTATATACAGTTATATGGAATTATATGAAGTTTTGCAAAGATACATAAAATTTTGTTAAATTATGTAAAATTATATGAATTTTTATAAAATTATATAAAATTGTGTAAAATTATATGAAGTTTGTTAAAATTGTATCAAGTTGTATAAAATTATATGGTTAAGGAAAATTATATGAAGTTGCATGAAAGCAAATAGAATTTTTGAATATTATACAAAATTCTATAAAATTATATGAAGTTTTAGAAAATTGAAAAAAATTGTGTAAAGATGTATGAATTTGTATAAAATTATATAAATTTTAGTAAAATAATTTAAAGTTGTGTGAAATTATATACAGTTATATGGAATTATATGAAGTTTTGCAAAGATACATAAAATTTTGTTAAATTATATAAAATTATATGAATTTTTGTAAAATTATATAAAATTGTGTAAAATTATATGAAGTTTGTTAAAATTGTATCGCTTCACGTATCAAGTTGTATAAAATTATATGGTTAAGGAAAATTATATGAAGTTGCATGAAAGCAAATAGAATTTTTGAATATTATACAAAATTCTATAAAATTATATGAAGTTTTAGAAAATTGAAAAAAATTGTGTAAAGATGTATGAAGTTGTATAAAATTATATAATTTTTTGTGAAATAATTTGAAGTTGTGCGAAATTATGTAAAATTCTACGAAGTTGTATAGATATATAGAGTTCTAAAAAATTATATGAAATTAACTAAAATTGTATTGTACGAAAATGTATTAAAACATAAAAATTAATCAAAAGAAAAAACATTACTACAATGAAATAATCCATTAAAATATTAAATACTTAAATCCAATATTTATATTAAAGGTAAATTTTTTCTAGAAACCCTCTTCATAAATACAAAAGCGGGGATAATGCACTGGATTATCATTGATTAATCGGACAATTGATTGAATTTGTATGTTTGAATACCAGCGGTTTATTTTTGGCACCGGAGCAGCGACCTTCTGCTTGGTCGTATTATATTTCGACATTAACAGATTAATTATGTAATTGGGAATTGTTAATTATTAATTGTCTACTCTCCGGATCCGGGAGCTAGTACCAAATATCGATTCTGCTGATTAAGTAATTGCTTTTCCTAATAAATTTATTTATTCAACCATGGACAACTTTGTATCCGCGCTGCCACCCAGAATCCAATTAACGAAAAAATAATTCCATTTTCCCGGTTATCCTTTCCTCAATTCGTCTCATATTAATTCTATTTTCCTTATATCAACGTAGTTTTTCAAGCTTCACAGCTGTCGAGATTTTACACAATTAAATCTGAATATTTTAACAAGTAATTTATTCAGAAGCGCTTATTAAAATAAAATCACAGTTACCAAGATTTATTTCGAGAAAAAAAATAACGTCACTTTTTTCACCGCTGCATTCACCATTATTTTCAGTAAAGTTTGCTCCACTGCCAAGGAATATTAAGTTACTCTATATTTATTAAATTCAAGCTCCAGACCTCCCTGCCAACCGTTCACTTTCGATCCCACGGAAAATAAATAGACTTTCAGATTTTTATAAATGTTTGCTTTTAATATTTCTAGGCTCTATTAGATTTAGAAGGATGTTCATGTCTAAAATTATCTATCCTGGAATAAATTTCATTTTTTTTATGGTGAAACAATTTCACATGTTTATAAATTCAATTTAAAAATTTCCAGTTCGACTATTTTCATTAAAAAAAAAAAAAAAAAAAAAAAATCATGCCAGAATTCGAACCCTGACCGTCTGCGTACAAGTTTAACAACTTTAACTCTTCGCTAAAGCAAAACTTGCATGGGTCAACGGATCAAAAAAATTTTTTATAATTTCACCTCGAGAAATTCTTTATAATACTCTAAGATAAGAATTTTCCGGAAAAATAATTTTTCTTCCATTAAAATTGAAGAAAATTGATCAATATAAATTTTTTTAATTAAAAATATTGTTCGGTACAATTTTATCGTATCTTCTTAAAAAAAAAAAAAAAAAATCCCTGCCAGGATTCGAACCTTGACTTTTCGGGTATATCTTTGACAGCTTTCACGCTTCGCTAAAGCCAAATTGGTATGGGTCAATGGATCAAAAAAATTTTTTTAGATTTAGCATCTAAAAATTCTTTGTAATGCTTTACGACAAGAATTTTTATAAAGAATAATTTTTTTTATGTTTAAAAAATTGGAAAAAAAATTAAAAATAAGTAAACGTATCTTGGATCTTTAATTTTTATAAAAAAAAAAAAAAAAAAAAAAATTCCTGCCGAGATTCGAACCCTGACCTCTCGTGTTCAAGTTCAGCAACTTTCACTCTACGCTAAAGCAAAATTTGTGTGGGTCAACAGATCAAAAAAATTTTTTTTTCTAAATTTTCTATTGACTCTATAGATTGATCTAAATAAAGAAATTTCACCCCAACAATTTATTTTTCCGCTAAAATAATTCATAAAAACGTCAAGACTAGGTCACGATCGGATCGTGATAGCATTGTTTGAAATTAAGCCTTTTGAATAAAAAAAATCAACAATGCGAATAGTTTCTTTTTTGTAATTGATACGTGTCAATAACTCTGATGTATAAATGCGCGATATCACGTGTGAAAGTTAGATTACAAATAAAATTTATCGCGCTTTCTCACCCGAGTGAAAAAAATAAATAAATATTGTATTTATATCACGTTTCGTTTTTTTTTTTGTTAGCTCGATCAAGTGTAACTTGATTTTTATTTTTATAGAACTTTTTTTCTAAAAAAAAAATTTTTATCTTTAAAAATCTAAAATTTACTCGAAAGCAAATCAAATTTTGCATGCATTAATTTTCTAATTCGTTTAAATAGAATATGTTAAATAAAGCAGAGTGTACCCAAGTTGTCTAAAATCCTCTGGGATGCATCGCTGTTTAAGAGAGGATAAGTTTAAGTTGCGTGACCTAGTACTATCTTAATTATCCTTGACGGTATCCTTGAAGTCTCGTGGTAACTCGATATCAAATTTTATTAATCGAAACCGGTTAATTATTTAATTACACTTTTACTAGAATATTCTCTTTATAACCCTATTATCATTAGTGTTGTTTTAAGTACAAATAAAAATTTTTTATCTTTTATTATTCTTATTGGAATATTTATTAAAAAAAAAAAAAAAAAAAAAAAAAAAAAAAAAACCCAAGCCAGGATTCGAACCCTGTCCACCCACGTACAGGTTTAATGACGTTTACTCGTCGCTAAAGCAAAAGTGGTCTGGGTTAACGGATCATAAAAATTTTTTCAGATTTAGCTTCTAAAAATTATACGTAATCATTTAGGCCAAGGATTTTCTAAAGAATAATTTTTCTTCATGTTTAAAAAATCGGAAAAAAATTAGAAAAATAAATAGAAGTATCTTGGACCCTTGAATATTATTTAAAAAAAAAAAAAAAAAACGGTTCAGGATTCGAACCCTGTTTTTTCGCGTATAAGTCTAGGGCCTGTTACACTTCGCCAAAGTAAAATTGGTGTGAGTCAACGGATCAAAAAAATTTTTTTTTCTCCGGATTTTAAAAATTCTCTGTAATATTTTAGGCCAAAAATTTATCAAAAAAAAATAAATGTTAAATTTATTAACTAAATAAAAATACAAACCACTTGTTTATTTTGCATTTTCTACGATTTCGTGCCCTCGGTGTAAGTTGGATCATCCAGATTTTTAGCTGCGTCCGTAATAAATATTTGTTTGTTTTTAAGTAATTTAGTTAAAATTTCCAAAAATAATTTTCCTACAGACAAGTGATCAACAAACTACAAGCGACTATTTAGTTAATAAATTCAAATACTCAAACACCAAAAAATTGTGCTTAATAATGGTCGATTTTTAAAAATAAAATTTAAATAATTGTTTGAAGAAAAAAAAATAAATTAGCGACCATGATTAAGAACAATGTTTAATTAACAGAAGAAAAATAGAAAAAACAAAAAGAATTTCTACTCATAGAAGAACAGCAAGATAAAGAAGATACGATAGAAAATACATGTGGTACAAATAAGAGGATCGCAGCAAAAAATTGTGCAAAAAGCTGACTCGTTAATATTGAGGGCTGATTTCAATTTTATAATTTTGACAGTAAAATTTTTTAATAAAAAGTCAATAATCCGTATTGAAGCTTGAAAACCGACATCAATAGAAAACTACCCGGTGAAAACCAGAAACAGAAATAAAAATTATTTCCGGTAAATGTCAGTGTCAATAATAGCATACGTGCCGCAAATCAGTGTCTTTCCATTTTCATCTATAAATATATGTGATATACGAATATATCAATCAATATGAATAAATATAAAATATAACGGTAACAGTTATCTACTTAGATAAAAGTCAAAAATAAAAGCCTAAGTAGGTTTCAAATATTTTTAACATGATGTCAAGTTTAACTTGAGGTACATGCTAAATTTATAAATTACGGTTAATCAATAAATAGAGGTTCAGGTTTTATCAGATATGGTGAGAAGCTGCAGATATCAAAAACTAGATAGTTCACTCGTTTGTGTTTTTAAGAAAATTTTATTTTTTTATCAACATATAATCATATATGATCACACATTATGCATTTATCATGTATGGTCACATATGAGTCACATATGGTGACATATATCATATATGATCACATGAATGTCATACATGCCACATAAACGTTATCTATGGTCATATTGGCCATATAAAGATTGTATACGCCATATATGGTCATAAGTGTGGCCACAAGATTGATAAATGCCATTAATGATGATAAATGTGAATTTTGTGTCACATAAAATTCATATATACAATATATGTTCCATATATGCCATATATGCCCCATGTATGGCATTATATGTCCCACATATTCCATAGATGCCCCATATATCTCATATGTGCCATGTATGCCTCACATATACTATATGTCTCATATATGCCATATATGCCCCACATATGTCATATATATCCCATGTATGGCATTATATGCTCCATATATGTCCCATGTATGCCATATATGTCCCATACATGATCAGATTTGTGTTATATGTGGCTACATATGGGATGTATGTGTCATATATGATCACATATGTGATGTGTGTGCCATATATGATCAGATGATCACATATACCGTACATGGCATTATATGTCATGTATATGGTTATAAATGGTCATATATGCCACATGAGTGTCATATATGGTGTTGTATGTCATATATAATCACATCCACTCCATATATGGTCGCACATTTGCCAAAAATTCACATACATAACGAATGTCTTTTTTATAGCCTCATATTGATGTCATGACGATTATATGTATTAGATATGACCATAGATTTGTCATATATGTTACTTATGATCACCGAGGTGTCATACAAAGTCGGTATATGCCAAATGTGGCCATTTATGGCCACATACGTATCATTTATGGTCACATATGGCTCATGATGGTCACATACGGATTATGCACCATATATGGTCATATAAATGTCACATAAAGTTCATTTATGTCTTATATGGTCACTTATCTATCATAATAATCATTTATAAGTCATATACGCTGCATATATGCTGCATGTGTGTCATATAAGCCATATATGTCATATATGGTGCATATGTATCATATAAGCCACATAAGCTTCATATGGTCTATATACGTCATAGATAGGCACATATGGAATATATATGTAATATACGGTCATATATGTGTCATATATGCTGCATATGCCATATGAAGTCTATATACGTCATATATGGACAGATGGAATATATATGTCATATACGGTCATATATGTATCATATAAGCCATATATGTATCATATAACCCATATATGTGTCATATAACCCATATATGTGTCATATAACCCATATATGTGTCATATAACCCATATATGTGTCATATAACCCATATATGTGTCATATAACCCATATATGTGTCATATAACCCATATATGTGTCATATAACCCATATATGTGTCATATAACCCATATATGTGTCATATAAGCCATATATGTGTCATATATGTTGCATATGTGTCATATAAGCCACATAAGCTTCATATGAAGTCTATATACGTCATAGATGGGCACATATGGAATATATGGTCACATATGTGTCATATATGTCATATAAGCCACGTATGGTTACAAAGATGTTATATGAAGTCCATATAGGTCATATATGACCACATATGTAATATATGTGTCATATATGGTTACTCGAGTGTCAAAAAAACTTCTCATATGCTATTCCGTAAAAAAAAAAATGTCAATAAATTTTAACTAGAACACGGATTATTTCCCTGAGAGTGAACTACCTTTATAAGATAAACCAAAATAGATTACACATACCTTTAAGCCCGATAGTAGTGCTGCAGGATCAGACGGTGTCCTGGCAGTTGAACTTTGATGCGTAGTAGCACCGTAACTAAGTTGATGCTGATAATTACACAGGATCTTTTTGTGAGCACTAGCTTGGGCTCTATAAGCCGACACTGATAACTTCATTTCTTTTTTATTATTTTATCGTCATGGGGTCTGGTACCCAATCGACTACGCACTCATTGCCCACGTCAATCATCATTTTTACTCCCAATTATTTTTTTTTTACCTTTTTTTATACTTTAGCTAAATTAAACAATTTTATTTTATTGGCGAGTGCCAATAAATTGTATTTATGCCACACCATTGATTTCAATTAATTCTTTTTATTTTTTATCACACACTTTTTTTTTGTTTTCCTAAAAAATCACATTAATATTCACTATCAATTTTTTAAAATAAATAATTGATTTTAAAAAAAAAAAACATTGACCGAGATTCGAACCCAAAATTTTCTAATTTAATATTATTTATAACAATTTATCCACCACTAGTCTTATTAATTTTATTTAAAATATAAAAGATACCTTTTTTTACTCAAAATATAATTTTTTATAAGTTTTGTTTAGAAAATTTTTTTGTATCTACAATGTTTAACCCAGAAATTTGATTCCGCTCCAATAATACTAATCGTAATTTATTTATTAATGTTAGCGATATTTGAAGTGGATTATTTTGGAAACTATTGGAATTACGAAAAAAATAAAAGATACCTCAAAGTAGGAAATTTAATTTTCTATAAGATTTACCCGTGTAAAAAAAACTTGTTCTAAAAGAATCATAAAGAGTCATAAGCCTAGAATCTTAAACGTGACACAATTTAGAAAATTTTTATGGCAAATTTATGACACCAAACTGAAATAAAATTTCAATCTTAGAAAAATATTGCCGCTATTATTTCGAGAAAAAATATTGTAAAAAATACTTTTATTATGATTTTAGGCACTTTAATGACACTTTTAAGACAATTTTTGGATATTTTTATGACAATTTTAGGAAACTTTTATGACATTTCAAGACAACTCTATGAAAATTTTAGGACACTTTTATGACAATTTTTGGATACTTGTATAACAATTTTAGGATATTTTAATGAAAATTTTAGGACATTTTTATGATAATTTTAGGACAGTTTTAGGATAAATTTATGAGGTAACGGTCTCTTATTTATCAAGACAAAATTTCTTAGGTTATAATTTCTCAGTAATTAATTATCAGTTAAAAATTTAGCAACGTCATAATTAATTATCGCTAAAATTAATCCTACAATAATTAATCCGATAAAAATTTTCTCATGCAATAATCAACAGCGGGATTTGGGGTGAGGTCCCGGTGGTGGTTGGGAGGTGAAGCCCCCCATTTGAAAAGAAATACACATCCAAATCGAGTAAATACACATCCAAATCTTGTTAAATAAGCGCTACATGATTACGTTCGTTCATGTTGTACTCCAAGATTGAAAATTAGATATGTGCTTGTTTTATGAGAAATTTTCATGAAGATATATTTTTGTTTTATGAAAAATTTTTGTAAAGATTCTTTTTAGTCACGAGAAATTATTGTGCCGGATATATTTTTGAATGATAAATTATTGCTGAGGAATTTTTGCTTGAGAAATGATTACCGATAAAAAAAGACATACACGGAGAGAAATTTATAGGAATCTTTCTGACAATTATGGGAATGGATCCTATAATAAAATTATCATTATAGGCATTAATCCTATACTCATTATGGGAACCATACCCATAATTTATTGGAAACGTTCCTATACAATAATGGAATAGCTTCAATATATTATGGGAATGGTTCCTATAATATTAT